GTAGGAAGTTGTTTCGTCGATTGCATACTTCAACTTTGTTCTTTCAAGGTTGGGCATGAATATATCTCCTAAAACATCTCCATCTTTTATTTCCTTAACTGGTGTCTTGCTTTTTGTTACAAATTTCTCTACAGGATAAAGGAGCTTATTTTTTTACAAATGGTTACATGGAAGCATTACTCATAAACGTTTTTTCTTTTGGGAGGAAGGGAATAGAAATGGATACTGTCCTCAAGGAACCGTATAAAACAGACATAGTTCAGGTGTTCGTCATCATCAAAATAATATTTCTGATGTGTGGGAGGAGGACATAAACAGACAGACAGACAGACAGCGAGACAAAGAGAGGAAGATAAGGAGATGCTAATGTGGATGGAAAAGTTTAATTCTGTCATGTGTAAAACACGTACAGTACATAATACTGTTTTTGGTAAACACGGTTCGTTGCATTTGTGTAGGTGTATACGCAAATGTTTATTGCCCAGTGAGCACGATGGTAACGTAGTGAAAATTGTCAAACAGTAATAATAACAATAACATTTCCTCAACTCTTATTTTATTCCTATTGACATACTATTAAATGACGACTTGGATTCCGTGATTAATTCGCCTTTAAAGAAAAAGATATAACGAAAGCCTTCATGGACTGGGGCAATACCTATATTTTTATAGTTTTTATACAAATAGCTTCAAACGATCACTAGTCAAGACACTGTGTTCTATAGAGCGAGGAGAATATACTGTGAAGAGAATTCTATTATTTCCTTGAGTTCCGAGTGAAACATAGGGCTTCACCAACACATCTCCACTTAATCCTATCTTCAGCCGTCTTCTTCAGCTTGGAACACTGGATAAGCACTGGATAAGGAACTCCGCCTGCCGGAACAAGATGGATTCAGGAAAGGCAAACCATATGTTGATCGAATTGCAACTCTACGCATCGTCATCACATAACAAAGCATAGAATCTTCATGCATTTATTCCCCTTGATGAATTTGAATAAAGCAAGAACAACAGTGGTTTGTGCAGAATAGTATGGTACCATCATTTATTTCGTCGGCTTCTCATCAGCTGCTTACAGCCTAAATAAATTATGAGGTTTGCGTACAGAATAGTTTTAACAAACTTGCAAATTTTACATGTTGTCAGTTGACAAAAAGTTCCACAGTAAGTGAACAGTGCTCAGAAAATTGCGCTTATATAGTTTTTACACAGGCAGTTCAAGTTTAAACAAAATAGATGTCTGCATACAATGGTAAAAGAGTTACGTAATAAAGACGAAATATGGGTTAGATACAGAGTGGCTAATAAATTAGGTAACAATGTACTGAGTTCAACTCAAATCATAGAAACAAGAGACAAAGAAAATTACAGAATATAAAAGGGGGTGAGGTTAAAGACAAAGATTACGTAATCAGATGAGAGAATAAAGACATTCAATTACCAGAGCAATGAAAGATTAATAAGTGCTTCTTTCTGAACACATAAATCTGGTTTCAAGCGATTGATAGAGATTGCTTCGGCAAACTTGAGGAGAATGGAACTCCTTTGTCTATTGATAATTTTAAAGGATTTCTCGATTTCTACCTCATGACCCGTGTCAAGAAGATGTCTAGTGATAGCGCTGCTATAAGAGTTTGTTCCCTTGAGACGTAGGCTTTTTGGCACATGTTCAGAAAATCTGAGGTGTTCCCTTCTACTTTCTGTTCTCGCAATGTAACCGCCCCCGCAGATACACGTAAATTTGTATACAAAGTTGGAGTTAACATTAGAAGGGTATCTATCGACTTTTGACTGCACCAAAGAGCATGTTGTTCGATGGACGGGAACCAACTTACCTACAGGGTAGGCTCTGGCTAGTGATGTTCTCAGTCTTCTGTTGACCATTGCTGCAATGTTTTCACCTTTAAAATCTAGTTGCATTTAGACAGGCTTTTTTTCAACTGTGATTTGTTTTGTATTTGAGCCTTCACATCTTCCATATTTGTTAATGAATCTTTGAGGGTAACCGTTGTTTTTCAGCACCTTTTCGAGAATCATAAATTCTTCCTCTAGTTTCTCTGCGGAGCATATTCTCCTTGCTCTATAGTACAGAGTCTTGACTAGTGCTCGTTTATAGCTATTTGGACAAAAACTATTAAAATAGAAGTATTGTCCATTCCATTTAGGCTTTCGGTAAATTGACCTCTGGAGATTACCATCTTCTAGGCGTTGCATGGCGATGTCAAGTAAATGGAACTGATGAGAATCCTACGAAATATATGATGGTACCATATTATTCTGCACAAACCACTGTTGTTCTTGTCTTATTCAAATGCATAGAATGGCAGTCAAATATGCTTCCACATTAACTTCATCGACTTCGAAAAAGCTTTCGACAGACTGCATTGACCAAGAAGTAATTTGTAAACTACTTCGACACTACGGTGTACCTCAAGTCTTTGTGAACCTCATTCAACAGCTATCTGATAATGTCATGTGTCAAGTGATCCACACGGGAAACTCGGCGAGGCGTTTGAAGTGAAGTGGCCAACTGCTATCACCGATGATATTCTTAATTGTGGTCGACTGGATTATGCGTCATACTGTTGAAGGTAAGGAGTCAGGAATACGCTGGACCACCGATAAGAAGACTCTAGAAGATCTGGATTTAGCGTGTGGATGATATATGTCTAGTGTCACACAAACTCGAAGACTTACGGGCGAAAACCTACAAACTAGCTGACGAAGCAGGCGGTGGAAGCAGGATTCCAGAAGAACATAAAGAAGACGGTGGTGATGGGGATAACTAACAAACCGCAACAAAAACCAGCACTAATCACCATCAACTGGAGAGATTTACCAGAGGCTACTTCCTCCACTTATCTGGATAGGAAGCATGGTTTCAACCACAGGCAGTTGGAATGGACGAAGATGTCAAAACCAGTCAAGGTGCGCCTTCATCAACCTGAAATCAGTTTAAATGTCTCCTGCACACAGTCAGCGTAAGATCCAAGATTCTCACTTTCAACACTTATGTCAAGTCGGTCCTTCTAAACGGGTCAGAAACATTCATTGCGTGTCACGGAAAGGATTTCCAACAGGTTGCAGACTTTTATCTGCAGAGAAACTAAAAGAACAATTTTTGATTCTCGAAAAGATGTTGAAAAATAACAACGGTTACCCTCAAAGATTCATTAACAAATATGGAAGATGTGAAGGCTCAAATATCAAACAAATCACAGAGGAGAAAAAAGCCTGTCTAAATTCAACTCGATTTTAAAGGTGAAAATATTACAGCGATTGTCAACAGAAGATTGAGTACGTCACTAGCAAAATCTTATCCTGCAGCTAAATTGGTTCCCATCTATCGAACAACATTCTCTTTGGTGCAGTCAAAACTTGATGCATACCCTTTTCATGTTAACTCCAACTGTGTATACAAATTTACGTGTATCTGCGGGAGCAGTAACCTTGGGAGAACAGAAAGAAGAAGGGAACACCTCAGATTATCTGAATATGTACCGAAAAGCCTACATCTCAAGGGAACGGACACTTACAATAATGCTGTTACCAGCCATCTCCTTGAGACAGGTCATGAGGTGGAAATCGTGAAATCTTTTACAATTATCGATAGACAGAAAAGCCCACTTCTTCTCAAATTTGCCAAAGTTATTTTTATCAAACGCCTGAAACCTGATTTATGCGTTCAGAAAGAACCAGTTATCAATCTTTCCTTCCCTACCTGGTAACTGATTGTCTTCTCTCTTACATGTGACTGAGTTAATCAGTCACTTCTTCTATACGGGTCGAAAACTAGCAGTATGCCTCACGAAAGGGATTTCCAAAAAGTTACAGATTTTTAATAACAACTGCCAACTTCACTGGCTCCATGCTGAAGATTAAATGACCAGCCAAATAAAACTGACGACAAGAATCTTTGACTGGCAGGGAACTAACAAATAGTCGGTTGCTCAACGAATAATTAAGAGAAAATGGAGATGGGTTGGGCATACACCACTGAGGAGGCCATCGAATGACACCACGCACAATGCAAGCCACCACTCTAGTGAAATCCCAATGGTAAGTCACGAGTTGGTCATCGTACTCAGGGTGACATGAAGGAGATCGTATGACGAAGAGATGACGGACTATGGGCAGTCGTAGATCCATCTGAAGGGGACAGCAGAGAAAAGAACAAAGTGAACATGTGTTTTTGAAGCCCTAGATTCCACTTGGAACTCAGGGAAGTAATAATAATGATAACGTGTGTCTATCAGTTTGACTGCTACTTTGGAGTCAGTTACATTTTGAGTACAATTAGAAATATTTGTCGTCGGATTTCTGAGTATCATATGTTACAGTGGGAATTTTCCAATAGTTAAAAATAAACTGAAGTCACTTAAAGAATGTCTGGAAACTAATAAGCGCCAGACAGTCAATTCTTCCTAGTTTGAGGCTTTGGAGTAGTATGCACCAACGACTTCATCAGGGATAGGACCAAAAATCTTCAAGTCATTAGGTCATACTGTTGATAATTCACCCATCAAATCAGCATCCAGTTATCTGTGATGTCCAACTTTTGTCTGTTCGTGATACAGCCTTACTGACAACTAACACTTTCGATGAGCAACCACTCCATCCTGCCATAGTGAAGCTCACGAGGGTATCTGAGGGTCCTGAGTTTGATTCCCAACGGGTTCATGAGTACTCTGTGTTGGCGATTGCTACAGTAGAACTAAATGCCTGTCTAGTGCTCCATAATTTTCAATGATTCTCTAAACGATGTCAGTTGGTAACGAAATTTACTATAGTTTGGTTTGTTAGGGTTAGTTTTGCTTTTTACGAGATGATCACGGGTTTATATCAGTTAGAGAAACATTGAAAACCAGGGAGTACTGGACAGCTGCTGTTTCATCCTAGTTTGGGAATCATCGGCAGTACGCACACACCACTGGGGTTCGAACCCAGGACCTTCTGGTTACAAGGCAAGCTTCTTCTGCAGGCGTTTTCGGGCGCCCATGTAAACTGGGTGGGACGTCCTTGGTCCTATGAAAGGATTGTGATTTTATCCCTTTTTTTAACGTTTTTATATCATTATCATTGATGGAGTATGACCCAGCCTCACCAACGGACGAACTAGAGGAATGTCCATCGTCACTTGAACCGTCAGCAATCCCATTACCAAGGCCCGTTAACGTGGCTGTATCAAAGGATGATAGCGATGTTTGTAATATCCCATTACATCCCGCCTCCAAGGTAGCACTACTTAGCATACCTTGACTTCACCCTAATCAAACTGTCAATGCAGAAATATCAACTAATACTGATTTACCCTCCAAATCCCCGAAATTCGAAGCGGTAGAAACACAATGACCACTGAAATTTACCATACGAATGTCTGCTAAATCCTTTTCTGGTTCAAAAGTGCCTGCCGAATCTCCTGGCATTTTCGAATCATCCAAAGATGTGAAAACCGAAGAGCCAAAAACTTTGCCTAAACTTCAAGCAATGATGAAAAGATCGAAACCGTTTCAACTCCCTGTTGGTGTTTTACCCCCTAAAAATAAACTTACGGTTACTGAAGTCAAACCTGACTTATTCCTACCAACTAAAGAGAGTGAAACATCGAGTGCGGCTTCAGATAACTCGAAAGGTGTCCAGCAACGGTTCATTCCACAAATGAATCCTTTGATAATCAACCTGTGAGTTCAGTAGGCATTAGTGGACAATTCGCTGCAACATGTGCAGTGGACAAGTCATTAACACCGACAAATAATGTTGGAAATAAAGCTACGCTTCCTGCTGCGAATATGCTTGCGAAGACCCCTCCTATTCCGAATCTTATGAGCCTTAATATTCAGCCACTGTGACCCGATTCAATGGCTCATGAATTCTAACTTTTACCAATTCGTGAAACAGCTGTCCAGTACTCCCTGGTTTTCAATGGTTCTCTAACTGATATCCATCCGTGATCAACTCGCAAAAACGAAATTTAAATTTAAAAAATAAGATGGCGATGAGAATATTTCGGGAAGTTTTTGGTCGACAGTCTCTGATTGATGTAGGGGGTAACGACTGAAGGTGAGGTAAAATCTGACAGGATTCCAATATATGAACTAAATTTCTTAAGCTTGATAAAAGCATAGTGAACTGACGCGATTAATCGCGTGGATAACTGTGATTATTATCCTCCATGGTTCAACTTCAAGTAATTTAATAACTCTGCGTAATTTTTCATTCTCATTTCAGTTACATAATTCGTATTTTTTGAACGAAGTTAGGCTTCTCACGGCGCATTCCGATAGCTTCAGGTACTTATGTTAAAGACAAAATCCTATGCCAAAATTAAAATTAGTCGG